GCGCGCTGTTCCCCGACGAGTCGCGTACGTACCGCGTGGACGTCTTCGAGGCCAGCGTGGAGCAGCACGCCGTCATCTGGGTTCCGGCGGCCCTTGTGGGGCGGCTCCGCGGCTTCCTGCCTTTTCCATCCGTCTCCTGTGAGCCCGCGAGCCTGGAGGCTGACAGAACCCCCGCCTGGTCAGGTCGCTTAGCGACATGCCCTTTTTCGGTGTTGCGGTCGCAATTTAAGCGGGTCTGCGCTTGCCGTGTCTAATCCCGGACTGTCTTCACTATGGGTGTCTTGTTGAATGGAGTGTGTCCACCTCGCTAAGCACCGTGCCCTCAAAGGATCGATGCCCTGATGCCCCACCTGGCCAAAGACAGGCAGGGGGGGGCAACACTGCCCCTACGCAATAGAAGTAAGAAACAGGGCAGGCACAAGGAAGGAGGGCCAGACCGCCAGAGACTCTTCCCTTTTTTCCTCTCCCTCCCTCCCTCCCCTCCGCTCCCCCTCCGCTCCCTCCCTCCCCTCCGCTCCCCCTCCGCTCCCCCCCCTTCTCCTCTCGCGTCTACCCCCCTTCCCTCCTGTCATCCCCGCTCCCGTTCTCCTGGTCGATGGCACCGTCGAGGCTGTTTTCGTCCTCCCCCTCATCCCCCTCCTCTTGCTCCTCTTCCGACCACATCCGCGGAATATTTGCATCTCGCTTCGGGTAGTCCTCTCTGACGACCCCAAGGGCCCCGAAGAGGAGCCCCAACTGCCAGAGAGGCCAAGAAAGATCCTAAGGTCGTCTTTCTTGTGTTGCTTGATTGTTGTTTGTTCCCAACCATCCTGTGGTGTTGGGTCCTCGTTTTGAAGAGACGGTCCCCGCGTTCCTCCTTTCCTCCTCCTCCCCCTCCTTCCTACCGTCCGCATGCGTCCCCCCCACCCAGTACAGCGTTTTGTGACCCCGTAGGGAGCTCCACCGAAGGCCCCAGTGCCACCGTCCACATGCGCCCCGCCCACTCAGTACAGCGTTTCGTGGTCCCATAGGGAGCTCCACTTAAGGCCCCAGTGCCACCGTCCACATGCGTCCCCCCACCTCAGTACAGCGTTTCGTGGCCCCATCGGGAGCTCCACCGAAGGCCTCAGTGCCACCGTCCACATGCGTCCCCACCACTCAGTACATCGTTTCGTGACCCCACAGGGAGCTCCACCGAAGGCCCCAGTGCCACCGTCCACATGCGTCCCCCCCACTCAGTACAGCGATTCGTGGCCCCATCGGGAGCTCACGAAGGAACCCGTGACCGTCCACATGCGCGCCACCACTCAGTACAGCATTTCGTGGCCCCCTTGGGAGCTCACAACCGAAGGCCAGTGCCACCCGGTTCCACATGCGTCCCCCCCATCAGTACACGTTATCGTTGCCCCATAAGGAGCTCCACGAAAGGGCCCCAGTGGTGGCCCCAGTGCACCGTCCACATAGCGTTCCCCCCACTCAGTGGCGTTTCGTGGCCATGTGAGCTCCACCGAAGGCCCCCTGTAGCGCACCGTCCCATGGTGCGTCCCCCAACCTCAGTACAGCGTTTCGTGGCTCCTCGGGAGCTCCACGAAGGCCCCATGCCACCGTCACAATGCGTCCCCTCCACTCAGTACAGCGTTTCGTGTCCCATAGGGGAGCTCCACTGAAGGCCCGTGACACCCGACCACTTGCTCCCAAACCTCTACAGGTTTCGTGGCCAATGGGAGCTACCGAAGTCCCCAGTGCACGTCCACATGCGGTCCCCCCATCAGTAAGCGTTTTCGTTGCCCATAGGAGCTCCACCGAAGGCCCAGTGGGACCGTCACATGCGCCCCCCACTCAGTACAGCGTTTTCGTGGCCCATGGGCGCTCATGAAGGCCCCAGTGGCACCGTCCACATTGCGCTCCCCCTCCCCAGTACAGCGTTTACGTGGCCCCCATAGGGAGCCCACGAAGGTCACAGTGCTCCGTCACATGCGTCCCCCCATCAGCACGCGTTTCGTGGCCCCATAGGGAGCCCAACGAAGCAGGGGACCGTCCGATGTGTGTCAGAACACCAATATGCATTTTCACCCACCCAGTACAGCGTTTCGTGGCCTAGGGAGCTCCACCGAAGGCTCCAGTGCCACCGTCCGCATGCGTCCCGCACACGCAATGTGGCATTTTCACCCACCCAGTACAGCGTTTCGTGGCCCCATAGGGAGCTCCACCGAAGGCTCCAGTGCCACCGTCCGCATGCGTCCCGCACACGCAATGTGGCATTTTCACCCACCCAGTCCAGAATTTCGTGGCCCCATAGGGAACTCCACCGAAGGCCCCAGTGCCACCGTCCGCATGCGTCCCGAAAACCCAACGTGGCATTTTTTCCCACCCAATACAGCGTTTCGTGGCCCCATAGGGAGTTCCACCGAAGCCCCCAGTGGGACCGTCTGCATGCGTCCCGGAAGCCCAATTCGGCATTTTCACCCACCCAGTACAGCGTTTCGTGGCCCCATAGGGAGTTCCACCGAAGCCTCCAGTGGGACCGTCCGCATGCGTCCCGGAAGCCCAATGTGGCATTTTCATTTATCCAGTACAGCGTTTCGTGGCCCCATAGGGAGCTCCACCGAAGCCCCCAGTGGGACCGTCCGCATGCGTCCTGGAAACCTTACTTGACACACCACTCACCCAGAACAGCGTCCCCCCCCACCCAGTGCAGCGCTTCGTGGCCTCATAGGGAGTTTCACCGAAGAAGATTTTCACAATTGCGGTACCCACAACTGCATATGGTTGGGTCCTTCGCCAGGATAATTTCTGTTCCCAACTCTTCTGCCATGGGTTCTCGTTTTGAATAGAGCATTGCGGTCGCGAGATCATTCTCCTCCCGCCTCCCTTCTCCTCTGCCCCTCTTCTACATGCCCGCTTCCCTGCTTCTACCTGCCTTTTGCCCTGCATCCTACCTGCCTGCTACCCCGCCTCCTCGCCATCGCTGGGTTCTGCGATCTGCGAACCAGTCGCCACTTTTGAGGGCTGCGGGGGGGTCAGCGGAGTGACGTCATACGCGGATTCAAAGTAGACCTCGCCATCCTTGGGGGGCTGCGGACTGTGAAACCGTAGCCACTTTCGAGGGCTACTGGGGGTCCAGAGGAGTAGCGTCAAGTGCGGATTCATTATAGATCTTACACGTCATACGCGGATTCAGATTCGACCTCGCAATCGTTGGGGGGTTGCGAAGTGCGAAATTGTCGACACAGTCGAGGGCTGCTGGGGGACTCAGCGGAGTGATGTCAGATGCTGATTCAGATAGACCTCGCCATCTTTCGGGGGCTGCGAACTGGGAAACTGTCGCCACCTTTCGAGGGATTTTATGGGTCCAGCGAAGCGGCGTCATACGCGGATTCGTAGTAGAACTTGCCATCCCTGCTGACCTGCGAACTGTGAAACTGTAGTCACTTTGAGGGCTGCTGGGGGGTCTAGCGGAGTAGTGTCATACGCGGGTTCAAGTCCGACTTCGCCATCCTTGCTGGGCTGCGAACTGCAGATTTGTCGCCCGTTTTGAAGGCTGCTTGGGGGTCCAGCGGAGTTACGTCATTCGCGGATTCAGATTCGACTTCGCCATCTTTCAGGGGTTGCGACGAGCGAAACTGTCGCCGCTTTCGAGGGCTGCTGGTGGGTTCAGCGGAGTGACGTCAGACGGTGAGTCAGGTCAGACCTCGCCATCTTTCGGGGGCTGCGACCTGCGAAAGTGCCGCCACCTTTCAGGGCTGGTGGGGGGTTCAGCGGAGTGACGTCGTACGCGGAGTCATATTAGTCCTCGCCAGTCCTGGGGGGCTGCGAATTGAGAATCTGCCGCCACTTTTGGAGCGACATCCTACGCGAACTCATATTAGACCTCGCAATCCTCGGAGGGCTGCGATCTGCGAAACTGTCGCCACTTTGAGGGCGCTGGTGGGTCCAGCGGAGTGACGTCATACGCGGATTGAAGTTGGACCTCGCCGTCCTTGGGGGGCTGTGGAGTGAGAGCTTGTCGCCACATTCGAGGACTGCTGTGGGTTCCAGCATGATGACGTCGTAAGCGGACTCAGATTCGCCTTGGTGTTCCTTCCCCGTGGGCCGCCCGGGGGTCACGCGGCGCGTCTGCGGGCGTTCAGCTCCCGCACTACAAGGGGGCAGCAAGGAAACGAAGAGCTTTGCGGGCGAACTCGGCCTCGCTCACGTTTTGCATTAGCTATGAATAACTGACCTTCTGGAACGCCATGGCGACATGGCGCGGGCCGTATTGCTTGTCCAGCGTGCCAGTGGGAAAGGATCGCCACCTTCCTTCCTCATCCCTATCTCTTTCATTGTCGTCCTTTGTCATCTTTCCACATCATCATTGCTTCTGTCGCGTTAACTGTTCGGCCCCTCTCTCGTCCTTTCCTGCCCCTCATTACCACCCCATTTCCTCTTCGAGCCTGGGTCCTCAGTGCTCGTCTTTCTGTTGCTGTCCTGTGGGTCATGCGACGCGCGCGCTTCCTGTATCGCTGGCGCAACCGATAGCAGATCGTGTTTTGTCATCATCCGTATTCTGCTGGACCAGCTCCTCTTCTCACTTCGTGCAGATGGGCTGGGCACGTCGCAAGGCAATTTTACAGTCAACATGTGGCCCTCGACGCTCGCACCCTGTGTCTGTTTTTTTTCGGTAGGGACAAGTTTCCAGATCAATTTTTGTTTTCGGCCCCTATCGCTGGTGCGTCCTTCAAAATGATTTAAGATTTGATCTCTCTCTCTCTCTCTCTCTCTCTCTTGGGACACATGTGCAATCTGGAAGCCCGCCCGCCCGCTTTAATGTTCCGCCTGTCCGTCCCTCCGTCAGGGTCTGCCTGCCCTGCCCGCCCAGGACGGACCGCCCGCCGACCCCCCCGCTCGGGTCCACCCGTCCGATCCGTTTGTCTTCCGTGTGCGAGTTTACCAAAGAGTTTGGACAGAGGCGCGTTCATAAAAAAGAAAGCGGGTGTCGAGGTTTTGGGGACACATGTTGGATGACGCGCGGGTAGCGATGAGCAAACCGTCTTATTCTTTGATGTGTTGAAAATATCCGTTTCCGGAATGCCTCACGCTTCGCGTATCCCCCCACGTCTTCCGCGCCATTTGGGCTGCGCTTGCTTGATGATCGCCACCGGGATTTCCACGCGACCAGGTTGGGAGTGCCGCTCCTGGTGCTCCTTCTGAGTGGCTGCCCGCGCGCTCGCTTCGCTTGCCCCTCTCTTTTCTGGCAGCCGAGTCGCGGCCCGGCTACTCATCGGACGGCTTTCGACTTGCTTCGCGAGCCCGCGAACAAAAAGTATCCCCCCACGTCGCTTTCAGGGTCGGCCTGCTCCCCTGGCTTGGTGCCGCCGCTTCCCGTTCCGGGTGTGGCCTTTCTACGTCTCGTCGCCTCGCCGCTAGTATGGTGCCCTGGCGTCGCTCTTGCTCCCCGCCGTGGCCGCTTCCGCCGTCTCGCTTCCCCTCTTGCACGCCCGTTCGGCGTCCTCGTGTACGTGGACTTCCTGATTTCCGCTTCCCCCGTGGCGAACCGGACTTTCTGTCTTCGTTCTCCTCGACTACGCGACGGTCGTCTTCGAGTACGGTGGTCTCCCGCTCGTCGCCGTTTTGGCGTTGCACGCGGACTTGGTGCCTTTCCTGGTCCCCTTCGCCTTCCGAGTCGCAGCTTAATTCGCTTCTGCGCGCTCGGGGCTTGCTGCTTCGCTTCTGCGCGCTTGGGGCGTAGATCGTGGCTTGCTGCTTCGCTCTGACGCCGCCTGGCACACCTGCGCGCTCCAGCTTTCGGGTTGACCTCCGACAATGCATGCGCCTTCGCTTGCGGTTGCGACGGAAAAAACATCCCCACCAACCCATTCAGAAGCCGTGCCCATGAAAGTTGAAGGGAAAGGGGACGAAGAGACACATCCAGGGAAACAGAATGAGCAACCAGGGTGAACCGAGAGCTCCTTGGAGCAAGGGGGTGGTGGCCTTGGAATGCCTCTTCGGGCCATCCCTGGGGACCGCGTGGGGGCGAGGGGGGGAGGAGGAGGAGGAAGAGGAGGAGGATGAGGAGGAGGAGGAGGAGGCGGAGGAGGAGGAGGAGGATGAGGAGGAGGAGGAGGAGGAGGGCGCGGATGAGGAGGAGGGCGAGGAGGACGGGGACCAGGATGAGGACGATGTGGACGAGGACTCATGGAACCATCTTGAGGTATTCTTGCGGCTGCTGCTGCCGCTGGTGCTCTCTGGGGTGGGGGCCCTTTTGGAACCCTCGTGGTAATCCTGGAAGGTTTTTCGGGATCATGTTGGAGGCCATCGATTACAGGATGGGGGGGGGTCCCCAACTCAGCTTTCGCTTCAGGAGCTGGCAAATCGCTTCTTGGGGCTCTCTTGGGGCGCTCTTGGAGCGGTCTTGGGCCCCCCTCGTACGTTTCGTGACCCCAGAGGGAACTCCACCGACGGCCCCAGTGATAAAGCCCACGTGCATCCCACCGCCCATTCCCACACACCTTTCACGCGCTCGGTGGTCCCATTCGGAGCTCCACCGAACGCCCCCGTGACAGCTTTCGCATGCATGCTCGCGCTCATTTATTCACATCTCTCACACGTTTGGTTTCCTCATGCGGAGTTCCACCGAACACCCCAGTGGCAGCGCCCGCATGCGTCCGTCGCCCTGTCGGACACCCCCCGCCCATGTTTCGTGGACCCACAGGGGATGTCTCCACATCTCCCAGTGCCGAGTCCGGCACGCGTGCGCGCGCACATTTGGGCACACAGGAGAGTCAATCGAGGGTGATATTCAACACTTCGGTAACCACAGCTGCATCTGGTTTTGTTTTTTCACCCAGATAGTTTTTTCATAGATGTCGAACGGTGCCTCCTTTCAAAGGGGCATCTCTTGCCGCATAATTGTCTCGTCTACGCGGAACATGGCCCGGGCGGGCCCAAGAGGATGACGACGTTGTTGGGGACGACGACGGCAATGGCGACGTTGACCATGACGATGACGATGGCGATGATGTGTGGGCGATGGCGACGGCGACGACGACTACGATGACGATGACGATGACGATGGCGACGACGACGACGACGTGGGAGCCTCTTGGACGCCTCTTGGAGCAATCGGGGGGGGCCCTTTCCGAGTCATTCTGGAAGCTTCTGGGGCCCCCTTGGGGATCTTTTGGGGCTCTTTTGGTTACCCTCGTGACGTCATCTTGCAGGACATCGATCAAAGAAGGGAGCGGCGCCGATTCAGCCCCCACACCCAAGCCCGACACGTCGTCTCTTGGCACCCTTTTGGGGCGCTCGGGAAGAGATCTTTGAGCCCTCTTGAGACGCTTGTTGGGCTCTCTTGGACCATCTTGGTGTCGTCTTGGGGCTTCAGAAGCCCACCAGAAGCGAAACAGCGATATGGCCAAACTCGCTGATGCTCCAACGGTTTGGGAAGGATGTTGGCCTCTCGGGCCGTCCTCGGCAGGCGCAATGGCCACTCGGAGCCGTCTTTGGGCAGTCTTGGTCCTTGGAGGGCTGTCGGAAGCTATCTTGAACCATCTTGGACAGGGCCAAGTTGGATGCCATGTTGGGCTCTCTTGGGCCATCTTGAAGCAATTTTGGAACACCTTCGGTGCTCTAACTGGTGGCGACCCTCCCGTCCAGACACGGTGGGAAGGGGCGAGGGAGAGGGGGGGTGGGATGGGGGGAGCGCCTCAGACAACCTCAGCCCTACAGAGTTGGTGAGATTCTAAACGCTTCGCGTGCCGTGGAGAGGGTCTGGAGACGCCTCTGACGCTTTTGACGCCCTTGACGCTCTTGACGCTCCGACGCTCCTGCCGCACCAGAGCGTCGGGGGCGTCATGAGCGTCAGAGCGTCATGAGCGCTTCCACTCGTGATTCGGTATGTTGTGCGGGGCATGCGGTTTCCAGCCATCGGGCGTTACAGTGACCACGCCCGAAGTCCAATGAGCTCAAAGAGCGGCCGCCGAGTCATGACCTGCCCTCTCCCGTCTCTTGGCAGGGACGCTGCGCCGAGTCATGACCTGCCCTCTCCCGTCTCTTGGCAGGGACGCTGCGGCTGCACGCGAGGGCATTGGCGGGTGGAGGAGGAGTGGGGAGGTAGGATGATTCGGAGGAAGAGGGGGAGGGATGTAGGAGGAGGTAGGAGGAGGCATCGGCGGGGAGGAGCAGCAGGAGCAGGAGAAAAAGGAGCAAGAGAGAGGGAGGGAGGGGGGACGATGAGAACGTGGAGGACGAGTGTACCGCCGAACAGACGTAGCGTCCTCTCATCTCTGAGGAGGCGCGAGGTGGAGGAGTGGAGGAGGAGGAGGAGGAGGAGGAGGTGGAGGAGGAGGAGACGGAATAGTTCAAGAGGGGAAGAGAAATGTGGATCAGGAGTAGGATGATGGCACGGGAAAGAAGAGGATGAAGACGGAGGACGGCGGGAGGGCCACGGGGAAGTTACTCTGCTGCACTTGGGCCGATCAGGATTTGCTCACAGAAGTTCTCAGTGGGAAGACGTCCAGCCAGGGCCCGTTCCCCCCCGTAGGGGCTGCAGGGTTGGACGGGGCGTGCAGCGGGTGTCGTTACTTTGTTGTTTTGCTGTTCCTCTGCCGTGCCTAGGGGTTTTTGAGGAGCGGGCGCTGCCAGGTCAACGGAGAGAAGTTCGTCTTCTCCCAGGAGGACTCCGCCTGCCCTTCCTGGTGCCTGGCGGTGCGCGCACAGCTTGCGTTATCCTCGGGGTCACGCAGATGGGAGCAGGGCGAGGTTCGGGTCGCCGGCGATAGGGGGGGGTCCTGGGAGGGGCGTTGCGGGAACTGCTGCATGCAGCTGGTTTCGCCACCGCCGCCAGGCGTTTTCCTCGATACTTTCCTTCGGTGCCGGGAGGCGCCGGGAGAACGTGAGGTGCTTTGCCAGCCGACCTGTTGGTCGGTGAGGTGATTTCCCGAGGTGAGGTGATTCACCAACTTCCGCTTCTGGCCGGCTGGCGGCGAGGCAGGTGGCAGGTCAGAGGTGAAGAGAGCCTGACACCGTCGCCCATCCCGCGCCATGGCGACGGGATTCGCCTCGAACTCCTGGTCAGAAAGCGCCCCAGGGGAGGTTTTGGGGAGTGGCGGTATCGGTATCGATATCGTTCTGGCCTTCCCCGGAGGGGGGGGGCGAGGAGGGCGGCCTTCGGAGAGGGCGGTGCTCTGAGAAGCTTCCGAGATTTTCGAATGAGCCCCCTGACTTCTCAGAAGGCCGTCCCTCTCATCCCACCCTGTCTCCCCTTCCCTTTCGCCCCACCCTCTCGCCCCTTCCCTCTTGCCCCTTCCTCTTCCCCCTGACCTCACAGAAGGCCTTCCATTTCCAGAAGGCCTGCTGAGCAGGCGGCGCACAAATGGGAGTGGCGTCGTCTTGGAGGTTTTTGTGCGGTCGTGGATGTCCTTGTCGCCACGGCTGGACGCGCTTCGGAACAATGCTCAGAATGAACCCTCGGAAAAAAAACTACGAGGGGACAGGGGACCAGTTCTAAACATAATGAGGATGATGACGATACAAACGTTTGCCACACTTGTCGAAGACGCCTACGGCAAATCACCGCCGCTCCCTGCCTTTTGGAAGCGCCTATGCTGCCGAACGTTGTGGCCAGAGTTCGGACACGCTATCGGACTGTGTGTCCTCACCAGCCGTTGTGGGAACCCTTCGGGGAACTTGTGGGGGAGCGAGGAAGAGGAGGAGAGGGAGGAAAAAAGAGGAGGATAAGGAGGAGGAGGACGAGGAGGAGGAGGAGGAGGAGGAGGAGGAGGCAGAGGAGAAGGAGGAGGAGGAAGAGGTTTAGGCAGAGGAGAAGGAGGAGGAAGGGTGAGGAGGCCTCTTGGGATTTTCTAAGGGCACTGGGCCTCTGGGATGCTTTTTGTGGGCTTTGTTGGGTCTGTTGGGGGCCTTTGGAGGCTCCTTGGAGGCTCTGTTGTCGTCTGTGGCCCTCTGGGGGCGCTTCAGGGCCGTCTTTGAGGCCATCTTGGGCGTCTTGGAGGTCTCCAGGCCGTTTTGAGGCCCTCTAGGGGCTATCTTCAGGGGCTCTTCGGCCGTCAGGGGGCCATCTCTGAGGCCTCCTGGGTGCTCCAGGGGCCGTCTTGGTGGTCTCTAGGGCCGTCCTGGATCGTCGGAACGCCGAAACTGAGCAAACAACATATAATCCGTCAAAAGACAAAAGACAGTCGATGATCAATGATGTCGACCTCTGCGGGCCTTCCTAGATGTCCTCTTGGAGGCCTCTTGGGAGCCTCTCGGGCCGTCTTGGAGGCCTCTTGGGCCGTCTTGGAGGCCACTTGAGGCCATCTTGGGCTCTCTTGGGGCCATCGCAGCCACCTTGGAGACCACCTTGCCGTCTTTGAGGCCTTTTTGTGTCTGGAGTGGGAAGGCTGACGAGCTGTGAAGTTTACGGGTCCTCGTGGAGACGGTTTTTGTTTTTTTTGTATCCTTGTTCTTCCGGGTGGCCGGCGGATTGAGCCGAAGGCCCTTGGGAACATTTACAGTAACCAAACACCACTTGACAATTAGCACGCCGTGCGCCCTTGCGGCAAGCCACAGGGCGCGGCGGATCGAAGACGCCTGCGGCGAATCACCGCCGCCCCGTGCACATGCGGTCGAACGTTTTTGGCCAGAGCTCGGCCACGTTATCGGACTGCGTGTCCCCTCAGCTGTTGTGGGAACCCTTCGGGGAATATTTGGGAGAGGAAGAGGGAGAGGACTAGGGAGGAAACACGATGATGATGATGATGATGATGATGATGATGATGATGATGATGATGATGATGATGATGATGATGATGATGATGATGATGATGATGATGATGATGATGATGATGATGATGATGATGATGATGATGATGATGATGATGATGATGATGATGATGCTGATGATGATGATGATGATGATGATGATGATGATAAGGAGGTGGAGGAGGAGGATGAGGAGGAGGAGTAGGACCAGTGTAAACCCAGGGTGCATCAACGATGTTTGAATCAATCCTCCGTCCAAGCTCCCTCTTCATAGGCCCCTACAACGGTTCATTTCCATTGAGGGAACTGCCTCGTTGGAAGACAGCCGTTTGAAAATCCTGCAGCATGCCAAAACATTGTTCTCGGGATTCCAACGCCACGGATCAACCTGACTGCTGCGTGTTGGCGATCGAGAGTCGTACCATAAACGCCATTCTTGGTTTTGTAACACAGCGAATTAACTTACCTGTTGCGCCCGCGTAATCCATAATCCATTCAAAACACCATTTCCGCTACGTGGATGAAGAGAATCCGTGACTCTTGCAAGTTTTAAAAATGAATGTACGCGGCGCTAAGGCGAGAACCACATTTTGAAAAGGATCCGCCCTCGATCCGTGAAATTCTTGCAGCATGTTAAAACGATTGTGCGCCGCGCTAGGGCGAGAGCCACATGTTGAAAATGAACCGCCCTCGATTCATGGAACCTCTGTGCAATTTTTCAAAACGAATGTGCGCCGCGCTAAGGCGAGAGCCACATGTTGAAAAGAAGCCGCCCTCGATCCGTGACATTCTTGCAAATTTTGCACGCGAATGTGCGCCGCGCTAAGGCGAGAGCCACAAGTTGAACATGAGCCGCCCTCAATCCATGAAGCTCTGGCAAATTTGTAACGTGAATGTGCGCCGCGCTGAGGCGAGAGCCACCTGTTGAAAAGAAACAGCCCTCAATCCGTGAAACTCTTCCAAATTTGTAAAACGAATGTGCGCCGCGCTAAGGCGAGAGACATTTTGAAGACCACCCGCCTTCGATGTGTGAAACTGTTCGAAACTGCAGAATCATAAATGGTGAGGAAATCTCAGGCGAAACGCGAGGCCCGCCGTAAAAACTGGCCTCGGGGTGCGACCAGGAGAACTTATTCATCGGGAAAAAGGAATGGAGGAGGAGGAGGAGGAGGAGGAGGAGGAGGAGGAGGAGGAGGAGGAGGAGGATTGCAATGTAGTGCTAATGCCCATGAGGGTAGGCATAACCCTGTGGAGGTGCTCGTGAAGGTCGAATGACGAACCAGCTGGTCCCAGAGCCTACGCAGGGACTGTTGTTGGCACCTGGTGTCGGTGAGTGGTATGCGTGGTCATCATACCCCGAGACTGACACGGGTGTTCGACACACTAGGGTTGGCGAGGGGTGCTTCTCGATAGCCCCTGTCGCCTCCTACCGTACAAGTGATACGTTATTATGCGTATCTCACCACCTGATCAGAGGATGGGTTGGCATCCCCCAGAATAGTGTCAGACGCTGGCTCCCTCACCTTGTATGGGGGCCCGGGGCAGTTCACCGGGGGCCGCAAAACAGGACGGCTTGCAACCCTAGTTGGGACATGTGCGTCTGCTACTCCGCAGGGAGGATCGCCATCTTGGCGGTGGCGGGGGGTACCCGCTCCGCATCGGACCAGCATGGAGATCTGCTCTGCTGCAGGCAGGGGCGCCATCTTAGGGTTGACAAGGGGGGGCCTGTGCCATCGCAGGTCGGATCGCAACCACAGGGGTGACACGGGTATGCATCTCTGAAGCAGGCCAGGTCGCCCTCCCCCCCCAAACTTGGACAGGGAGGACCACCTTCGCTGCCGCCGATGTCTCCGCTGTGGGGTGACAAGAAGGACCTCTTCCACAGGATAGCCGACCGCCGTCCTGGCGGTTTCCAGGGGTAACCAGTCCACAGGTGGGCACCCTTCCACCTGAGGGGTGACAAGGGGGCCCTGTTCCAACGTGGGGCCATCGTCACTTTAGGGGTGACAGTTGGTTGGCTCCCCAGCAGGACTGATCGCTGGCTTGCAGGTGATCGAGGGACCTGCTTCACAGAAGTGCGGATCATCGCTGTTCTAGGGGTGACGGTTAGGCGGCCCCCCATGGGGACTGATCGCCGGCCTACGGGCGACAGAGGGCAGCCTCCTCCACAGGAGGGCGGAGCGCCACCCCTGGGGCAACAGTCGACCTCTGGTCAAAGTACACGTCGGTCCAACTAGTTGCGTCCAGAGCGTCTTGGCTCTCAACGCGCGCAAGCACATGCCAGCGCCAAATGCGGCCCAATGGTTCCCCCAGTCGCGGATGCGCCGCCCGGCAGGCGGCTGCGCCCCAGCGCTTTGGTTCTAGTTCATGTTGCGCTCCGGGCGTACTGGCAATCTAAACGGTCGACGCCTCTGTGCGGTCGCCGCCATTCCGGCTGGGTTGACGTCGCCGCAGCTTTTGCCTGCCTGCCCGCGGCGGCCTCTGGACGAGCTCGTTTTACTTAGAGATGCGGGTGATGGGCGGAGACGCACCTGGGCGGGGTGATAAGGGGCTGGGCGGCTGGGATACGGAAGGCGGTTTAGGTGAGATCCGCCATGACATTTTGCTTGCTCCCACTGCGATGCCAGCCTTCGCCGGCACAGGGCGGCAACCCTCCCCCCTCTAGGATGTCCCCCCAGCGCCCTCCAAGGGCTTGGCCTGGTGGGGGCTCGGGCCTTTGTGGGGCCGCCCAGGGCGGGACGCGAGGATCTCTCCACCCGTCTGGAACAGATGCAGGTGAGACGAGGTCCCCTCCTGCCTCCTGCCTCCACGCGCGCCGTTTTGACGGGGAAGATGCCCCCTCGAGCTCGCGACCGCTCGCCCAATGCGAAGGGTCGTCCGCGCGGCCGCTCCGATTTGCGGCCGTGCGGGCCGAGTCT